CCCACCCCCCCCCCCCTCCCCACACCAAGAGATGTTGCGGGAAATTGGAGCTGGGCCAGGCTTCCTCTGAATTAGGAAAACATAGGATCCAACCACTGGCCTTTCGTAGGTTCTCTGGAAGCATCCTGCCTGGCTTTGGGGGGAGCTGTCTGTGCCCCGGTGAGGGCTGTGCTGCTGAATTGCTTGTTTGCACTGCGAGAGCGGTTATTCCCAGGCCTGAATGCAAAGCTGGGGCAGACCTATAGGTGCTATCTCCATGCATCACCCCACAAACAAAGCACCGTCTGAGCTGAGCGTTGTGTCTCACGGGGAGGCCAATGTTTTTGTTACTGACTGCATCCTGCTTCCACATCCGTATCAGGCACTTAATAAAAGAAGCCTGGCTTTTGTACATAATGAACAACCCTGTTTGCCTCCCTTAACTTTGGGATTTATGGCAGAGATCCTGGGATCTTTTAAGCTTTATTGCATTCCCCTCCCCTGAGAGGCAGGGAGGATCAGTATCTTCTTGTTCAGCAGGGAGCTGGGGCTTGAAGTATGCAGACCAAGGTGACTCAGGGAGTCAGTAGCTGCCCTGAATTTTAAACTGAAGTCTTTTGTGTCATCTGGAGTAGAGTGCTACCCTCCATCAGCCCTGCAGGCATCCAGGCCATTCATTCCATGTAAAGTACAGGTCTGTATTTAGAAAACTAATTCGTACTCTCATGTTGAAAAATTGTAGTCTGAAAGTCTCCTGGTTCATGTGCTTCATAGAAGCTGCTGGGCCAGGTTCCAGTCTGGTGACCTTTCGCTGGCAGCAGTAGGTTTGCATCCTTTGGGCTTAGATAGCAACACCTAGAGCAGCTGCTTCAGAGGCTTCCTTACCTCCTGGCAATCGTCCCTCAAAAACCTTCAGGCTGTGAATAAGGGAACATATAATATTCGAAAGGTGCAAGCCTGGCTTATGGTTTCACAGTATTCTGCCTGTAGTTCTGCTTCTGGTTCAGTTTTTGCCGTGGCAGCAGATGCTGTCTGACACTTTTTCCTGTGCAGGATGCCTGGCATCCTGAGTTTGCTCTGCTGCAGTGGCTTGGTTGTGTTGCCTTTTGGATGGGTTGGTGGAGCTGTTGACTGGGCAGTGTGTGATGGGCAATGTGCAGGAATACATCTGTTCTCTTTTTATGTGAGCTGGAGAACGTAATATCCCAGACCAGGATATTACATAGGGGTTATGGTTCACTGAAACCTCCTTTCTGTCTTTCTGCGAGGATTGCAGGCATTATTTTGTGTGAAACAGATGAGGGATAGATGAAGTGCCTCTTTCACCCTCCCCCACACCATCAAGCTGCTGTGTGGGTACCTTTGAGCTCTGGAAATAAATGAAATTAAGGTATTGTGTGTAGTTGTAGCTGACTGATGTTCTTTCCTGTGGTGAGCTCCGCTGAAGCTGGGCCAGGCATCAGATCCTGCTGGATTGCCAGCTCAACTTGGAGTGCTTCAGGGTAAACTTGGCTGAGAGGAGTTTTTCTGCTTGCCATATCCCTCCCAGATGTTCAGGGAGGCTGGTTACACCAATTCTGCTTGGCCTTATGCAGCCTGCCTTCTGCTGAACACTTAACTCCCAGTTCTTCACCAAAGCCCTGGACACATAGCAGGGTGTTTTCTGACGTTTGTTGGGTATAGGTCTCTGTTCCTCTGGTTCTGGAACGTGAAGCCTGGTTGGGGTTTTGCTTGTGATATCTGCTGCTCATCTAAAGCCCAGTTTCTCCCCCTGCTCTTCCCGTTCTTGTGTGTGCTTGCCTGGACTGGGAATATTGGTTTCCACAATTCACATCTGTTGTGCCTGGGGTGGGTATTTGTTAAGCATCTTTGTAGCCCTTAAGCCTTGCCCTGGACTCTGCACAGCCGACTGAGTCCTCAGGGGAGCGGTGGATGGGAGCGTGGCTGTCACCTGACAACGAGCACACAGACACGCTCTTTTAGGGATCCTTGGCGGAATGATGACAGCACTAAATCGTAGCTACAATTAAAGCTTTATTTTCTTAACAGGTTCCTGGCACCCAGGAACCTTGAGGCCGGTAGGGAGGAGAAGAAGAAATCTGTTTGGTTTGTCTGCTTGGTGCACAGGACCTTCAGGGCCTGAGAATGAGGGGACGGGAACGAATACGTGACCCACTTGGTCACAGAAGATGGCAGCTCACCTCATAAAACAGCATTTGTCTTGCTGACCACATTGTCAGGGGTCAGGAGCAGGGGCTACCGGTCACACCGCGTCCTCCTCAGGACCACTCCTGTCTGAACAGTCTCTTGGGCTGCTGTTACAAATGTTCTGCTGGCGCCAGTATCTGTCTGGCTGTAAAGGCTGCTGTTGGAGGACACTGTCTTAGGATGCTTTCAACCTCTCTGCTAGTTCAACTGCTTTGCTGAAAACTATGCACTACAGTGGTGGTGTCTCTTGGGCGACTCGTTCGCGTCCTTCACAAGAAGAACTTCTTATTGGCTGGTTTCACAATGGCGGGTTCAAACTGCAGCAGAATCCTCCACGAGTGCCAGGGCAAGACAGTGGTTCAGACGGTGGTGTGTGAGCGCAAATTTGGTGTACTGCTCATCTCATCCCAGCAATGGGATATGGAGTGTGCCCATCCTACTGCTGTAACGGTTGTGCTGCCATTTACACGGCATTGGGACTGTGCCTGGCAAAGCCTGTGGAATATCTGGTACAAATGTCTACTTGTGCATGGCCCTGTGCCAGCAGGAGTTCGGGTGCAGACCACGAGCTTTAGAGCTCCACAGCTCCTTGCATCAGGCCTTGGTGGCATATCCCACTGAGACGGAGCATCCCTGGTCACTGTGCTTGAAGCACTCCTTGTCAAATGCTGTGCTTTGCAATGCATCAAAGCTCTGGTACCTGCAACGCCGGGGTCCCGGGGGGATCTCTGTGGAACACATGCCGTACAACACATCTAGCTATGGTTTGAAAGACAGAGTGGAAACTATAATTTTCTGACGATTCTAAGTTAGTCAGGGTAGTTGGTTTGAAAACTGCCTGAAGAATTACAGGAGTGTCTTGCAAAACTATTAGCATGATAAAACAGCAAATGGGATCCCATGCTGATAAATGCCACAACTTTATGCATGTAATGGCGATCTGTGAACAGTTTCTCACTGCCTACAAGGAGCCCTTTGGCGTCATTGTGGATCGTTATCTGAGCACATCAGCTCAATGTTCAGCTGCAGCCAAAAAGGCAGGCCTCATACTGGAAATAAAGAACAAATAAAAAATGCTGGTATATATTCTTGTATACTTAGGTATACAGTCATGTTGTGCCTGCATCTTGAGTACCACATACAGTCTGGTCACCTTCTCACAAAAAGAGTGGCATAGACCTGGACATGATACAGAAAAGGGGAATGAGGATGATTAAGGGACTGGGATAGCTTCTGTAGGAAGAGAGATAGTGGGAAAGAGTAGAGGCCTACAAAATAGTGTACAGTGGGGAGAAGTTGAGTAAGGAATGACCTTACTCAACTTTGCTATTTCTTACAGCACAGAGGAAGCACATCCAGCAAAATTATTTATCGGGCAGGAGGTTAAGGAAGTCCTTTTTCAACACAGTTGGTTTGCAGAACATGTTGCTATGAGATGGCATGAAGGCTGAAAATACACACAGATTCCAAAAGGAACCAGATACCTCAGTGGCAGAGATGTGTTTCAGTGGCTGTTAAACATGGTGGTCAGCATGCAGCCTCTGGCTCTAGAAGTTCCTTGACTGCGAATTGCTGCAGGCTGGAAGAGTGTGGCCTTAGGAGAGATCACTCCATACTCTGCGATATGTATATGCCGGTGCCAAAATGTTAAGGATAGGGCACTAGACCAGAAGAATTCTTGGTGTGACCCAATATGGTGGTTCTTGTTACCAGAACACGCTGAAACACTGGAGTGAAAATGAACTGATTTAGTTTTGAGCACTTCTGGTCTAATGGCTCTCCTGTGGGAGTTACGCACAGGTCACCACAGATTTTCTTATATCTTTTATTAGCAAATCTGAAAGCACTTGCAGGAGAAAGGGACCGGTGCAGGCATAGCCCACCAGCTCAGTGTGCCAGACACTGTTGTGGTTGTTGCAGGGTATGCCAGCTCAGTGACTACTGCCCAAGCCAGCCAGCTGAGATGCCTGGCGTTAGCTGTTGCCAGCTCAGTGACTACTGCCCAAGCCAGTCAGCTGAGATGCCTGGTCCTATCTTTGCTCCTCCTTGGCTTCTGATTAGGGTCTGGTTTGGTTTATGTCCTGATGGAACAAAATCTGGATTCTTAGAGCTGCTTGTTCATGTAACTGTGGGCGTTACTGTTATCCATCCAAATGTCTCGTCTTACAGAGAGGGGAAAGAGCAGGGTATTGCGAATTCTATTGTGAATTCCTCTATGGTTTCCAAGTCCTATGTTGCAATTTCCTTCACAGCCTAAGTAGCAAAATGTCTCCAGTTGCCTCCACTGGGAACTGGGAAAGGCTGGAACCGCACTGCCTTGAAAAGTCTATTTGCTGATAATGGAGTGCCTTAGATGCTCACTTTAGGAGCAACAGCAGGGGCCACTGTTATTTACCGCTCACCCTGTTGAAAACTTAACAAACCAATGGTTTTTTTTGTTGAAGCTGGCTGAGGCTGTAGCAAAAACAACCAGACAGTAATGGGCATATGATTTTTGTCTGCCATTCAGCTTGCTGCAGGGGCGTTCTTAACTGCTTAAGCCTGAGCATGGTATCGCAGTGAGATTTTGGGAACACTGGACTCAGAATCCAGTCATAATTTTACCTCTGCCTTGTTCCTTGAACCCAAATCTATACACTCACGAGCTCTGATGTTTGTGCCTCTTTCAGGGCGATGGATAAAGAGTTTAAAGCCCCTGTTGTGCTGCCCAGTTCCCAGCTCCCTGCAGAGGAAAGAAAAAAAAGTCTCCTGGCAGCCTCAAGCTGTTTTTAAACGAGACAAATGCCGGGGGTGCCTGTCTGCCAGAGCCTCCAGCCTGTACACCGAGTCCCTTTTTAGCACGCATCTCCGCGCGGCTATATCTGGCTCCAGTTCCTTGCTCTGGGAACGTGACCTCATCGTTGTTTTGGTATTTCCAGTGATTCAGCCTGGTCCGGGGCAGGGAGGAGTCATTCCTGGTGCAGGCTGATGGGGTGTTTGTGCGTTGCTGGAATTCCAGAGCGGTGCAGCCCCAGCCCTTCCGCTGCCTTGACAGCTCAGCTGAGGCTGGGCTGGTGCATGGCATTCTTGCCTGGCAGACGGCCTGGACGCAGCTGGTAGAGGGTCCGAAGCTCCTGCTTTTGGGGGTAATGGGGATCTCTGTCTTTGCAGCCTACCTGCTGTGGTGAGGGTGAAGAAAGCTGCGTGCAGTAGCTTGTATGCCTGGGAAAGCCACAAGGAGTCTCTGCTCTATGGGTGGAAAAACAGTCTCGCAGAATGCTCGTTACTATTTACAAACTGCCAGCATCCCATAATGAAGTTAACTTTACAACATCTGCAGCAACTTGGTAAGTGTTATGATCCTTATTTCACAGGGGGGAAACTGAGGCACCGAACAGGGAGGTGGTCTGCTTGAGGTTTTATGCCCCTGAGCTAGAAAATTAAACTTCCATGAAGTGGTGCTTGACTGCGTCTGTCCTGTCCTGTAATGGCTGGATTCCTCCAGTGAACGATGAACATGGGCAGCGGGTCAGACTGAGGCAGAGCGGTGCTTGTAGGGAAGAGCAGCTCCCAAAGTGAGATGAGGCCAGGCTGTACAGATGGCTAAACCCCATTTTCTGTGGGGATCACTTTCCTCCATCTCTCCAGGTGTGGTCAGAAAGCACAGGGCAGAGCTTGTAGACAGGGTTCCCCAGCCAAGGTCAGCAATGCTCATACTCCTAGCAGGCTGTGGATGCTGCAGGGCTGTCACTTGTGCCTTGACAGGATTGCTGTTGCTGCAGGTGTGATGAGCCTTATTGCAGCCTTTATCTAAACACTCTCAACTGCCTCGTTTGAGCCTGGGTTGTTGTGAATGGTTTTTAAACCCTTCGGAATCATCTGGTGGTTAGCCATTCCCTGGCTGAGATCAGTTTGGCTGCAGAAGCAGCTTGGTTGAAGACGTGGCTTCAGTGTTGTCTTGCTTAGCAGTGAACCAGCCTGTCAGTGTAGTTGCTTCACCCCAGGAGAGACCTGTTCTCAGTTTGTCACTACGCAGGAATAAGTCATTAAGGCTCATCATGTTTGGAGAAGCAGCCCGCTGTCTGGAGCCCTTTTGCCCATGTCGATGAATACCTGGAGATGAAGTCGTGGCTGTATTTTGTCTCAGACTGTTTTGGGGAGCTGTACCTGGCACCAGGTTCACTGCTGTTACATTGGGAAGTTTCCCCTTTTTTATTGTGCAAGGGTAGCTCAATGCCAGGAGAGTTAACTCATCCCAAGGTCAGCTGGGCTGGGCTGCAGTAGAGAACCTCTGCACCGTGGAGGAGGAAAGCGTGAAGCATCTTCCTCATTGCAGGCACCGTCAGCCCAGGGAAAGGATATCAGCACATGCAGGAATGGGGAGTTTTAACTCCAACAACCTTGCTTTCCCAGTTGTGCGGGGGGGTAGTGGCTGTACCAGCAGTTTGCAGAGAGAGGAGACAACAGGTAATACAACCTGGCTGCTCTCATTAACAGGGAGCATTTCAGGCTGGCTTAATGGCTGGCTGGCTTCACCCTTCTGGTAGGTTATCACCAGAACATACACCTATTACTTTGGGGTCCCTGTGCTGTCCTTGAAGCTAGGTTTCTAACAGCACTCACTGATGCAGTTGGCCTAAATCAACTGTTTCCAAACTTTTTTTTTTGAGGCTAGGCAATATTTTTTTCAAAGGACGTCACCCCAGCCTCTACAGAACAGGCCTCAGTTGCTTCAGAACTACATGAACTCCCTGTTCTTTGTCACCGGTTGCACCCAGAGGTCACTGGCATGAGCTGTGTGCCTGTCTGGCATTGGGCTTACTGAAAATAGGCTATGCCTGCTGTGGTATGCATCCTGAAACAGCTCCTTCTCAGCCTCTTGCTGAGGTCTTTCAGTGCTCGTTTAATGGGCAGTGGCTGAAACCTGCAAACCCCCTTCTACTGCTGGTTGCGGTTGTGGGCACAATGGAGGTAAAGCCCCCAAACCCTTTGACACGCTGCTGCTTTGCCAAGCTAGTCCCTATCCCCCATCTTCCTTATTTGGTGTAAATCCAGTTGCAATACAGCTTGTAAGTTATCCTGAAATGGAAGGGAAAGAAGAATCTTAGCAGGAGGTGCCAAAGGCAGTGAACTGGAGAGAGAGGGTAAGTCCCAAAGATGTGGGGCCCCTGAGTATGGGGAGAGGGCCTGGACGACGGGAACGGGCTCCTGCACCATGAGCTGGTCACACACACGGATGGAGCAATGCTCTGATCAGCCTTTCTCCCAGGCGTGATGGGCTGCTGTAGCACTGTGCACCAGGGAAGGTGTGGGGCTGGGGCTGTCCAAAGTGGGGAGTAGGATAGAAGATTGCATAGGTTTGCGTTACTGCTAGCAGGTGCTTTGTATGGAGTTGTAGGAGCTGCTGGAGAGTGTGGAGTTGGGGGGTCTCCCCTCACTAGCGGTCACTTCACCCCATGGCTTCCCCGTGCAGGCAGCTGCCCTCCCACCCCCCTGCCTCAGCAGGCAGGCGGTGGAGTCAGCCCGCACAGCCCCATCACGCTCGCTTCTTTCTGAGCTTGCTGTAAATGGCTCTCTGTAACACGAGCTGCATTTCTGCCATAGTCCTCTCCAGAGTGCCTCTGTATTTACACTGGGCCTTTCATTACCAATCTGGCCCTTGCATTGCCAGCAGCCCGCAGCCCTCACTTTTCTCTCCTGCCCACATGCTCTGTGAGCAAGACCAGCACCCTGGCACTGCTGTGCCCGAGGAGAGGCAGGTGACTGGCAGCAGGAGGAATCCCTGAGCCAGCTCCCATCTGGAAGTGCCTTGTCATGTTGCTTCTCCCGCGCCATCCTGCAGCAAGGGGGGAGCCACCCGCAGAGACTCCCCACAGCACGGCTCGCTGATCCCTGAGCTGACACGGGGACAAGCTGGTTTTGCTTTGGATTATCGCTGGCTCTGCATGCTATATTCTTCCTGCTGCTCTCATGCCGTTGCTGCTGCACCCGTCTTCCAGCTGCAGTGAGCTGAGCCCACGATCTGGGGAGATCGTATCTGGCAAGGTAGGAGCTGCTCCCTTCCGTTTGTTCTGCTAGAAGTAATGTGGCCAGTCCTGCCCCTGCCTGGGGAGCATGCTTCAATTAACAGTGTGTATGTGGTTTTATTTTGCATTGTTCTGTAGCTCTGATGAACAGTCAGTGTGCTGCTCAGGCTGTAGCCTCTATTACATGGAAAGAAAATGCATATATCCATTTTCGTTTTATGTACACACTGGAAAATCAAACTGGCTCCCTTTCTACTCTGGTGCTCCAGAGCCTGTCTCTCTTCTCTGTTCTTGTGCAGCATCCTGTGCATGTTCTGCAGGTCATGTCACCTGCTTCTTCAGGTGATATGAAAGTAGAGAGAGCAGTCTGAATGTGCCTTGGGAGAAAGGGGGAGCGAGAAGAAACTCATGGAAGACAAAAATCAAGGAAGTTTAATAGGCATAGAAATGGCTTGAGAGAAATTATTTTTACCCCAGAAAATTAGACAAGGGAAGAGCCTTCTTTCCCTGGATAGTCTCAGGAGGGTATCTTTTTTTTTTCCCCCCTCCTTCAGTCCCTTAGGGCAAGCTGTTTTGATATGGAAAGGCTTGAGGCTGCTGTTGACCCTAGGGATGGAGGAGAGTCAGTCTTGTTAGTCTGGTGCCTTCTTTCCAGTGAGCCTCACTGGCATTTAATGCTTCACCTTCCCCCACTACTGCACACCTTTACTGGGGCTGTATAGGGAAAAGAGGTGATGACCAAGAAACCCTACCCCTGCAGGATTTCCCTGCAGTAGCCAAGGATAGATAAAATAGGAGGGCAGCCTCATTTTCTTCTGACCTAGCTGGTGTTTAGGCACAACTGTTCCCTTTTTAGTCCACAGCAGCTGGGGCGTGCCTGCCTCTGTACACACAGCCATCCATCATCCCCAAGCTTGCTGTACCTGGGCTTCCCTCCCATGTGGAGAGGAGTATCCCAGCAGGACAGACAAGGATATCAGGCCTTCTGCAGGTGATGGTTTACTTCTGAGGACTAGCCCAAACAACAAACCATGTTTTAGGGGCCCCCTATATCTCTAGTTGCTAAGCTGCAAGGAGGGAAGGGGGTCCTCTAGCTTTCCCTCCTTAGCATACCCTACTGTGCTGCCAGTGGGTGTATAAATAGTGCCCACAGTATACTATTTTGGTGACAAGCTCTTCCTAGGATTCATCCAAAGAGTTATGTGAGCAAGTGTTAAAAATAACACCAAGCCCTGCCCAAATGCTGGCGTCGTTTCAGCCAAAGTGTTGGGAATCTTCCATAGAGAGCAGCCTTGGACCCTTGGGAGGGGGCAGAAGGTGGGGGTCTGTTGGGGCTCCGCGTGTTTTCCTCTTCTTGCTGTCCTGCTGACCACAGAGGACACTGACCCTCGGGTTCAGCAGATCTGCTGGTCACCAAGAGGATGTGAGACTTTCACTTCTAATTAGGTTATTTGCTACTGAGCTTACCCTGTGTGTTCTGAGTATTATCGCTTCGTCTAATGAGAGGTACAGGAAATGCCAGGAGGGGTTAACCTGAGCTTTAATCTAGGCTGCTGCCAGGTCCCTGCCGGTAGCCAGGTCAAGCTGCTTTGCTAAAAAGTCTTGGGCTGTAGCAATGGCATATGTAGGGATTCTGGCCCTACGTTAGGTTTATCCTGAGGACTGGTAGCTGGAGATTGGTTTAATTGTGGAAGGCATATTAAATCTCTATGTTGAATTAACTCTGGACGTTCTTGCTATCCATGTAAACACAAAAGTAGTTCCAAATTCTGCCATTTTCATGGTGTGGTTGGTGCCTATAACTGAAAACCGGACCACGCTACAGAGGTTGCTGGGGAGCCGTGCTCCTTGGGCTGCGTAGCCAGTGCAGGATGCACTGTCCCACTGAGGAGCTGGAAGCTGCAGTTTCTTTCCCTCCAGCTGGGTTTTGCCTGTTGTTGGTCAAGTCCTATGCTAGGTATGCAATTCAGCTGCTCTCATGCTGCTGCAGCATCAGGCCCTGCTGTGTGCTGGAAAACAGGAGACCCCACTGGAAAGCAGCAGGCCTCACTGAGTCCTTGTGTTCAGTGTATGGAGCCTAGAGTTCACAGAAATGCTTCTTGGAGGGCTCATGCTCAAAGAAGCCCCATCTGAAGACAAGAGACGCTCTTGCAGGTAGATGATGTGGCTCCACTCTTGCCTGGTCTAATATGGGATGCAGGAGAAGATACCTCCTGTGGGAGTGGAGCACCCATTGCTGTTACACAGCTTAATACATGGAGCCTTGCACACAGAAGAAGAGGAAGAGAGCCGAGATGTCTCCTGGCTGCAAACTTGGGGGC